TAGTTAGCATCAATTTTCTTGGCATGCATCTCTTTACTTGATACAGGTATTTCTCACAGTAAATTAGGACAACCAGTCCTAGAAGCATGTTCAGAGCTGTTTGGTTGAAATTTTCCACAAAACAAGAAGCTAAGAAGCTGTTTATACGTTTGCCTTAAAAGAAGCAAACTAATTATGTCAACTGATTTATTAATACATGAAGTTCTTCGTCCAATTATTAAAAGTACAAAGGGACCAGGGAGCAATTTAAACGTCTAACAAACCTCAAAACCTTTCTTTAAAAAAAAAGAGTTAATTACGATTCTAAGCAAAGCTACTGTAGATGGGCCCCTTAGGTTTTGCTCAGGTTTAAATAAAATCATAACAATAACATTACCTCATTGGCCAGTTCCAGGAGCACTGGGGCAGCTCCATTTTTCCCCACTCCATTCAGGTACCTGGATAAGACAAAGCCAAGTGGTCATGCAGTGACAAAGAAAGGCCAGCACAGGCTTGTCAGCATCCCCTGTGTGTACACATTTCTCCTGGGCAAATGCCATGCTCAACTCCTGTTCAAGTGTACTATCATCACAGGAAAGTGCTGAAGGGAAAGGGAATAACAAAACAACTTACCTCAAAACAACCAACTAACTGAAGTGGAGGCAGCAGCAATAACCACATCAGTCTCCACTGTTTCTTCAACCTCTTTAGAAGTACAGTAAACAGAGATGGTTTCTAAAATCCTAACCACATCACTCTGTATCACAGAAGCCACCACATGGGAAGGGAGCAAGTTGATTTTCACAGCTTGAACAAAGCATCCAGGTACCCATACCACTCTCTACCTCTGTTTCACAGGATTCGCTGAGACCTTATTAATGAAAGACCGAACAGATAATGTCATCAAAACACCTCTGATAGGCAATACAAGCATCTTATCTGCCCTGGATTGCTGTAATAACCTCCGGTTAGTATCACCACTGGACTCCATTGCAAACGGCAAACACAAAGCCCTCAATCATCCCAGACATGGAAGCTGGGGTGACTTTTTAAAACCAAAATTTGAATGTGGCACTCTCCTGCTTTAAACACTTTTGAAGCCCATGCTCAATCTCAAAGTGAAACTGTAACAGTACCTAATGGGTACTGAAAGGTTCTGCATGCTTTGGTTCATTTTTTCCCTCTACTAGTGGCTGAACCTAGAGACTTAGACATGTTCAGCAAGGGTTCTACCAGTGAGCTATATCCATAGCCTTCTTTCTGCTTTTTTTTCAATTTGAGACATGGGTTTTGCTGAGTTGCCCAGGCTGGTCTTGAAATCAGGCAAGCTGTGAACCTATGATCTTCCTGCGTTAGCCGTCTGAGTAGCTGGGGCTACAGGCCTGCACTACTAGGTCTGGCCATAATCTGGTTTCTGTCTGTGCTCCTTTGCCAGTCTCAAGTTCAGTCACTGATCCCTAGTCTTACCCTTCACCTGTGTAACTCAAGATCCAGCTCCAATGCGATGTTCTTCAATCTACCATCCACAAGTCAAACTGCCCTTCATATGCAACTGAGAAGCAGCAGCCTATATGTCTCTCTACCACAGAATGCTGTATTCGCCTAGCTACAGAAGTTCTCCTTATCTGTGTTTCAAAGCACTCAAGGGATGCCAGAACTGATGAATGGTACTGAAACCTATATACATGATGCTTTCCTATGCATACATATACCTATCATAAAGAGTTGTTTGTAAACCAGGTAGAGTAAGAGATTAATAATAACAGAATACTATTCTATAATAGTTATATAAATGTGATCTCTCTCCCTGAACTGTATTCAACCTTCTTATGATGATGATGTGAGATGACATAAGGCATATGTAATGAGAGAGTGATATTATGTCTAGCACAATTCATAGCTTACAATAGGTGATTATATAGTAGGCAAACATATACTTTTTCTTTATTAAATGAGTGACCAGCTTTTAAAGCCACATTATGCACCATGTATGAACTTTTCTTTAAAATGTCATATTTGATTTATATTAATAATTATATTAATAAAGTCATTTGTTTGATTTTTAAAAAGTCAGTCAACGAGGGAGGGTGTTTAAGAGCCAGAAACAGGTGCTGTATTTCTTTTTTTTAACTACAATTTTTATATTACATATTATAATGTAAGATGTATAACTTTCCTATAAGCAAGGTGGGGTAAGAGCCAATTATTTAAGATAGGGAGAGCCTAAGGACTATGAGAACATCAGAATAATTCTAAGAAATCTGTTTTCCACATATTGAAATCCTTCTTAACTATTGGGAGGACTAACTAGGAAATAAGGACTTCGGAAACACAGATGAAAAAAAGTAAGTGTGTCTAAGGAATAGCTCCAGAAGTGAAGGAAAAAAAGAGAAACAAACCAACCCCAAACATGGCAAATGTGTTTTAAAGAACACAGCCCCTGGGATTTGGGAAGCTGAGAACTTCAGCATATTCAGATTTCCATTGCACTCGCAAGTCTGCTTTAGGAAAAAAGCAATCAATCTATGTGGTCAAACCACACCAAGCAACTGTAAGTTCATCACTAACAAAAGTGCACGTTTACCCAGAGCTCCAGTTCTGGGTCGGGGCATTTAATACCATGCTGATACTTGGATATCTTTAGTACTTTGATACTAAGCATTAATGTAGCCCTTGGATATTTTTGAGGATCTGAAGAAGCAACAGGGAATAAAATACCCCTTGGTCCACCATCACAGAAATAAAATAGTCTTGAGACAGCAATAAAAAGAATGTGATATATGTTATAATAAAATTTTAAATTAGCTAAGTTGGTCAGGGAACGTGCCTCTAAGGAAGGGGCACTTGAGTAGTTTTGTTTAAATTGAAAGGAGTAAGCCAGAGTGGTTGGGGGTGGGGCGAGGGAAAGCACCAGACTACTTCTCATACTAGGGAACTGTTGTTTTGAGTCAAAATCACATGGTTTCATATACAAGATCCATCACCACTAACTGGTAATGCACAGGGGAAACTTCATCAGGCTTAAAGACTAACAACAGACAGTCAAACAATAATACCATCTACATAGTCTACATACACTTAGTTACGGTGGAAACTCCTAGTTCTGTGGGCTCCTCAGTAGGTCATATAAAGAAATCAATCACAGGGCACTGATGAAATCTACCCAGGCCAGCACAGTGACATAAACTTGAAACCCAGTACTCAGGGGAGGGGGAACACAGAGACAGAAGGATCACCAGAACTCATTGGCAAGCTAGTAGCTGAATCAATGAGCTCCAGATTCACTAAGGGACCGTATCCCAAAATAAGTAATAAATAAATAAATAATAAATAAATAAATAAATAAATAAAAATAGGTGGAGAGCTCAATGAGGCCCTGGGTTCAATACCTAGTATAAAACACACACACGCATGCATGCACGCACACAAAGAGAGAGGGGAGAGAGAGAGAGAGAAGACAGTTGTTTAATTTTCACTGCTTTCATAACTCTAGTGATGAAACTTCAAAAATTTACCCAACTTATCATGGCAAGCTTGTATCTAAATAATATCTCTATTGACATTACCTCTAAAATGTTCTCTAGACCCCACCTCCATCAGCATTGCCACCAAAGTCTCTTTCATTTGGGCTGGGGTAAGAGCTGGCTTGATAGGCTTCCCTGCTTCCATGTGCTCACTGGTCAACACCCTGCCATACTCCAAGGAACTACCTTCCCAAGTCACAAATGATTATTCTTGGACTGTGGCTAAGAGCACTAGTTGCTCTTGCATAGGACCTGGGTTCAATTTCCAGCACCTACATGACAGCTAAATATCATCCTTAACTCCAGTTCCAGGGGATCTGACACCCTCTTCTGATCTCTGGGGCATTGCATGACATGGGTGCACTTACATACATGCAGGCAATACACTCATAAACATAAACTAAAATAAATAAAATACATGAAATATTTAAAAAATGATCACTCCTGGCTGAAAATGTATCACTGGGTTCATATTACTCTTTTTTTTTTTTTTTTTTTTTTTTTTTTTTTTTTAAGTTTCCCAAGTGCTGGGACTACAGGCATGCACCAGCACACCCGGCTCATATTACTCATTTTTTAAAATCACAGTCCTTTGAACTCTTCAGTAATGGTCTCTTCAGTAATGGTGTTTCCAGACTTTCTTGCCATTACCCAAAGATCCTCACTCTGCCAGTTTCCCCTGGGTTTGGAATGCTCTCCCCTCCCAACGAACTGGTAAGGGCCACTCCCATTCCTAAACTGTACATGTTCACCATTGTTCCAGACACTCCACATGGAAAACTGACAGAACTGAACTGTACTCTCTAGACACACCTCTGTTAATGTTTCTCTTACTGTACTTGACATACAGCCATTTTCTCACTATATAGAACAGTTGAAGGTAGGTACTATGCCTTGTTGTATGTGTACAGTCAATTACCAGCAGGACAGTTATGCACAACAAACAATGCTAACTGAACAAGAAATTGAGTGTGTTAGTTTCGTGCTGCTGTGACAAGTACTCAAGTAAATAAAACAACTTAGAGGAGGGAAGATTTATTTTGGCTCCTAGTTTCAGAGCGTGGCTGTCTGGCTCTGTTGCTTTTAGCAGAAGAGCATTGTGGGGATAGAGGCAGCTCACCTTGTGTCAGCCAAGAAACAGACAGAGAAGAAGGGGTTAAGGCAAGGTGTGGCCTTCAAAGATTCAGCCCCAGGAACTACAGAATGGTGTGGCCCACGAGCAGGAAGTCCTCCTTAGTTATTTTTATCTGGAAAAGACCTCCAGACAAAACAAGAAGAGTGTTTTACCATCTTCCTAGGCATCTGTCAATCTATCCAAGTTCACACTGAAATTAACTGTCACAGTGGAATCAGTGATCAGAAACAAGTTTTATCATATACTGTCAATATGAGGTTTCAACAAGTCCTTTTTCATATAAATATTTAAAACATTTTTGTTCATTGTTCTGATTCTGTAAGCTACTAAAGTTGTTTCCTCAGCCAGGAGAAGGAAAGAGCAGAAAATACAATTTTTAAACTTCGCTAATGATGGAAACTTGGAAATCTGACCACTTATGATGATTCACCTCCACTGTCAACTTGGCTGATTTTAGTGTCACCCAGAGTTGTGTGTTAGGCGCTTCCAGGGAGGCTAAACCGAGGAGGGAAGACCCAACCTGATGGAGGTGGCACTGTTCTAGGCACGGGGGTCCAGGCTGGATAAACTGAGGAAGTCGGCTGAGCAGAACTCACTGTGTACTGCTTCCTGGTTTGCCCGCATGTGTGGAGTCCCCACCTCTCCCTCCTGTGCCATGAAGTCTGCCAGGCATAGTACATTCATGAACCATGAGCCTAAATAAACCCTTCCCTTCTTAAGTTGCTTTTACCAGATATTTTGGCACAACAATGAAGAAAGTAACTAGCACACCACTATATGTGTGCACAAAAGCCTATAAGCGCCAATCTGGAAGAATCAAGATAAATATTAGCAACAACATTCCTGTTTGGAAATAAAATAGCACAGTTTGAAAGAATAGGGAACTGTTTTCAAATGAATGCAGGCTGAGGTGCTGGTGTCTTTCAAATGAACACTGAGTTGCCTGTAAATACACAGCATGCAGAATTAAGAAAATGTCCTTAACAATCCTAAAGCCTGGGAACATGCTCCTATTCTATTTGGATCCTATGAAGGCTTTCTGACCCACAAGGCTCTCCCTGTGACTTCAGACTTTTGAAGTCCCAACTGACATAACCTCAACAGTAGCAGGAATGCAGACCCAGAGATTCTCATACTGCTAGAAGGAATACAACCAATTCACGTCTACACTGAACTCTAGCAACAAATAATCAATTCTTAAATAAATGTTCACATTGATTGCACCAGTGGTTACATACCAGTAGCTACTGCAGAGTCAAATATCACAATGTTTCCCACGGTATTATTTACCTTATCAGAACAGTAATATATCATACACATTTTTCCAAGATAAAATTCAGTATTCATAATCACATATATAGTATGACCTTATCTATGTAAATTGGGTTGTCAGAAGACTGGGATGAAATTTTAACCAGTAGTTATCTCTGAGTGGCACCATTATGGACAATCATTCATTCTTTTCTATGCCATCACAAAGGTGCTTAATTTTCACAGTATTACTTTTATAAAAGAAAAAAAACTATTGTTATTAACATTTATACATTACTTAGACATTTTTTGATAAAACATAACTTGCCTTTATTCTAACTGCCTGAACCAAATAGAAACCTTTTAAAGCCAATTTACCTTAGCAAAACCCAGCACAGTTGACCTACAGATATAAAACAACAGGCTGATTGAGGCTAGTCTGTCTGAGGGGTGACAGCATGGTCCACCCCCACGCACTGACACAGAGGGAAGAGCTGGTGGATGGAGACTCTCAGGACTGCTTTCTTCTGAGTCTCCTTTATTACAGCCTCAGTTCCTGTTTTATTGTAAATGTTAATGCCTCAGAATAGCTGTGACTCTCATATTGAAATAAATGTAAAGAAACACAAATATATTTCTATATTCTAACTACTACTCACTGTTCATTGTTCAGTAACTACATTTAAAAGTTTCATTTCTGAGAACTCACGAGGCAGAGGCAGGTGAATTCAACACCAGCCTGGTCATGTTCTAGGCCAGCTAGAGCTTCAGGGAGACCTTGTCTCAAAAAAAAATAAAAAACAAAACCAAACCAAACATTTCATTTCTGACCTAAAACTATCCAGATAATACTTTTTTTTTCACATATCAATAATAACATATGTTTTGGGGGGTGTGTATTGGGGATTGAACCCAGGGTCTCACACATGCTAGGCCAGTGCTCTACCACTGAGGTACACCCCAAACCCTCTTCTACTTTGAGACAAGATCTCCTAAGTTGCCATGCTGGTTGTAAACTTGTGATCCTCCTGCCTCATCATTCTCAGTAGCTGGGATTTCAAGCCTCTGCTACTAGGCTTGGCATTTATACTTTTTAATTAAACTAAAAAATTTAAAGGCAGATGATTTTAGAAATCATTTAAATAAAAAGAATCCTTTACAATGAGGCAAATAGATGTGAGAGAGGAGCTCTATCACCTATTAGATCCCCATATTTCTAAGACAAGAGCACACTTTCCTCTGAAATGCTGTCTTTATTTTCCTTTCTACATTACAAGACTTTAAATCTGTACACAACACTATGGTTTCATATGATAGCCTGGCTATAATGTTTAGAAACGAGAATATATTTCTTTTTAGTCAGGTGTGGTGGTACAGGTCTATAATATAGCACTCAGGAGAGGTGGCTGAGACAGGCAGATCACTAAGTTTGAGATCAACCTAGTCCACATAATGAGATCCTGTCTCAAAGCAAGCAAACAAATATTTCTTAGCATGGAAAAAAACAAAGCCAACTTTCCAGTCTCTCTTTGGAGTGTCTAGATGCCAAGGCATCTGCAGGTCTTATTGGACTATATGGTTCATTCTTAATTAGATAATGTATGATTTACGCTCTGTCTGAAATTTAAATGCAGATTTCATCAAAATGGTTATGACTTTTCTCAAACTTTACAATGACCTGTTCAGAGAGTTCACACAGTATTGGGGGGGAGGGTGGCATAGCTCACATACCTTTAATACATTCAACTACTCAAAACAAAGAGTATTTTTTACCATGTGGCAGAATAAATGCTTTTTTAAAAAATGTAATTTCAATAACTTTACTACATCTCAGTTCTTTAAAATGACTTAACAGAAACCTGACATCAATGCTTTACATGTCTAAGTCATTCACAAAATTTTTGTGCATAAAAATCATCCATCTGAAAACAGTGACATCACATAAAGGTGGATCTGTCTGTCAGTCTTGACTATCATAATTTAGAAGTACATTTCAACCACTTTTCCTTTCCAATATGTCCTTGAAGTGTTTAAGAAACCAACCATTTCTAATGCCAATCATTACCATTTGTTGTCATAAATTACTGAATAGTAATTAGAATAACAGTATATATGCAGAATTAAGAAAATCAGAGCAATTTGAAAGGTTCTGTTTGTTTCAGAACAAGAGACTGGAATCTATCACAGTTCATAATAAATAAAGCTGAAATTTAAATGTACCCTGGGCACTATGGTGTTGGTTTAATATTCCAGGTTTTCTTTTGAAATATAAAGCCCTCATTAAAATATGTTAGCCGTACAAAACTATATGTCTCCAAGTCCGCATTTGATAAATGTCCTTTATAAAATATCTAAAATGCTAACCCAATATAATCTAAAATACTACAAATGAATTCAATCTTACTTTTTCAGTTTGTTGATCTAAATAAGAAATAAATGAAAATTTAAGAATTTGCGTATTTGATGGGGTGGGTGGGCAACTGGAATGACAGAAGGAAGCAGGAGGAAGGGGAAGGTTCTAAATACCATCACATTATATTGTATGAAAATCTCAAAAATTCAACAAAAATAACTTACACATATGCATGTAAGGCATGCATAAATGCATCTAGACAAGAGGGGTACTTATTAAAAGTTTCATGTAACTGACTAGGATTCAACAACAGGTAACTACATCCCATCCTGGACACACACACACACACACACACACACACACACACATTGGCGATCCATCGCCGTATTCTTTAGACATACAAAAGAAAGCACTTGAAAACTCATTCCCAAATATACTAAAAATTTTAAGTAGCAGACTTAAAACAAAACAGTAGGAACAATTAATTTAATAATCTAATTTATCTGTAATAATGATCACAATCAATAGAGGCTGTGGTACCTCTAGTGGGCAGCAGCTCATACCTTTGGTAGTAACTTTCAATCGCTTCTGGAGTGTGATGTTTGGCATGTGTTCTCTTAATATGTTTCTGAAACAAAATACAGATGTAAGTATCTATGTTGTGTCACAGATCAGTTTTAAGAACAGCAATGACATTATTTTTTGATCCCAATAGCAAGCATACAGGGCACAATGGATAGTGGCTTGGGGATTCGGGTGGTGGCAGGATTTTCGTTCTGCTGCCCTATGAAGCTATGCATTTAAATCTCTGCTGCTTGGCTGGGATATCTTCAAACTGTACCACAGTACAGTATATATGTAAAAGCCACCAGGGTCATAGTAATTGAATCTAAATAAGTTTGCTTAGGGCTGCAGAGGGCAAAGAAAAACTTGTTCCCTCTTTCAACCTTTGTATTAATTTTCCTTCAATTCAATTCCATCTAAGTCCTCTGCACTCTGGTTTTACAATCCAATTGCCATTTTTAACCAGGAAGAACATTGCTTAAAAACAACTTATTCGAAAACTACAAAAAGTAATTCCATAGAGACTTGCCACTTGACTGACACCTGTCATCTCGTGATAAATGACTCCATTTTCTGCCTCTCTTGCCTTCTGCCACTCTAGCAGTGGTCATTTATCATCATCTCTGTCAGCAATGGGAAGCAGCCCTGACAGTGCAAGTCAGCAAACATTTAGCACATGGAGCCACGCAACACAGGGAAATTATTATTGTCAGAATAATAATGGTTTAGCATAATTTATTACAGGTCCACCAAATAAGCAAAGGCTAGATGTTATTAGACAGATGGATGGGTAGGCTTGGCAGGCCTCCACTGAGACGCAGGCGGTGCTTCATGTGGAAAGGAGAACATCCTCCAACCCAATCAGAGAGCTGGCAGTTCAATTACAAAGAAATAAAGGGACATTCATCATTCAATTAGGCACCTGTCAACCCTCACAAAGGAGAAAACTTCTAACCTGGTACTCCTGGGAGAAGATGCTCAGCAGAGTAGCCTGCGATTGACTGGAACAAATAAAAGAAGGACAAAGTTAATTACTGGAGTGCACAGCAAAGAAACAAAAGAGAAGGGAGCTTCAAAGGTAGGCCTGCTGCCCTGTAATCTAACAGAACATGAAAACAAGTGTGGAAAAGTTGTTCCAGATGAACACCTCAAACAAAGGCTTCCTGCTGCTAGGTCAAGGAGAGAGAAAAAGCGAAAGGGGCAAATATAAATGGTCTCAATGAAGGAATCATATCCCTTGGATTTCTTGAAACCTTGGAAAGACTGTGTATGATAACTGCAGTATAAGATGATGTTTAAAAGGACCACAAGAAAATGAGGTTTCTTTCCTCAAACAAATGAGAGTTCATCCCCAGGAAGAGCAGGAAGGATGCACTTCACTCACTGGCAGCATTCTGAGATTCATTTTGTTAGCGATCCCAGATTCAGGGGGAAATTCTGGTCTTTACAAGAAGTAGTACAGAGACCAAGGGAACAGCCCCACTGAAAATGGCAAGCTTTGTAAGTAGAAGAAGAGGTCCACAGAGGGCCTCCCTCCCTGACTGCTGTGAGTCTTATTCCTGTAGGACGCTACAGTGCAAGATCCTTGGCAGTAAAGAAACCGGGGAAATTTTCTTCCCAAATGGGGGGTTTCCTCCTGCAGCTCTTCACTTTAGAAAGGGAATAGAATAGTTCTCTAAAATATCACCAGTCTCTACTGCTCTGCTTTACTGCCCTCAGTAGATACATCCGCCTTATTAAAGCTTCAAAGTGACTATTTCTGATAGTTCTTTTATTAAAGGGTAAAAGAGACTTCACGTTAATTTTTCACAGTATGCCAAATCTCTCTGAATAATTAATTTTTTCTATTTATGAATGAATCTCTCAAGCATATCACCAGGAATTTGGAGAGTTTGAAATGAAAACCACTCCACATTTGTCTACTCACCACCAGCGCTGGCAGCTTCTGGAAACCATCATGGATTTGGCTTCTGACCCTCTCCACCCGGCCCAAATTACATGAAGAGGTTTTAAAGAGAGTACCATAGGGCCAGCAAGGTGGCTCAGTGGGTAAAGGCACTAGCCACCAAACCCAATGAACTGAGTTAAGTCCCCTGGCCCTACATGGTATAAGGAGAGAACTGACTCCTGAAAGTTGTCCTCTTACCTCCACATGCATGTTGTCGCATGCATACACCCTCACATGTATATACATATATCCACATGTATACACATGCCAGAACAAATGTAAAAAATGTTGTTTGAATACCATTATTCAGCACTCAGGAAGTGAAGGCAGGAGGATTGCTGCAAGTTTGAGGTCTACCTAGCAAGTACCAGGCTGGCCTGGGCTATAGAGTAAGACCTTGTCTCAGATCGAAAGAGGGAGTTAAAAGGGGCATGGGAGGGAGGGAGAGCAAGAGGGAGACAGAGACAGACAGACAGGAAGGAAGGAGGGAGGGAGGGAAGGGGAGAGAAGAAAGGAAGAAGGGAAAGGCAGGGGGGGAAACCCATTGATCTTTACTAAGGAAAGCTGATCTATAATTAAAGAACTACCCCAGTAAGTCAAAGAGCACTGAGAAATGACTGGAGGCAACTACAAATTCGGCACTCGATTTTCTTCAATTTCCTTTGAAAATCAGAAAGTACCTTTGAAAAACCTAATTCCAAATATAAAATCTTCCTATCATGCCTGGCTTGCCTGAACTTGACCTACAAATCCAACACCCTGGTAGGGTTACTAATACAGACTTCTGATAAATATGACCAAATGAAGGTCCAATCAGTATAAACTACATAAGAAACTAAAATGTTTGGTATTTATGTATGACGAAGAGACCCTCATCATTGTACAGACCATTGACAGTACAGAGAATGAACGTCTGTCTCAGGGTTTCTAACAGTATGACATAGCGTTGGTTGGAAACACAAGGAAGCTAAGCTGAATGAATGCACATGCCTGCCTTTGCAGGTACCCATAACAGAAAGACAGGAGACAGCTGGAGAAGTTAGTTCAAGAATGGACATGTCCAAGTGAGTTTGGTCAGGAGTGGGGAGCACTGTATAAATCAAGGATAACGTGTTTAGCCAGAGAATGTCTTGGAATTACTTCAAGTTCAGTTCAGCTAAAACCATGGACAGAGATTCATGAAGCAAGCAAGTTTCTCTGTGAAACCACAGTTAGAGAGAAATGTCATGCACACAGTGAGTAAAAAATAGCTGGAGCCCCAAACAGGGCACAGCTCATATTATACCAACAAGAAGGACTAGCTTCCAAACTGTTTTGATTTCGTTCAACTACAGGAGGCTTCAGAGAACTAAGTGACCTCTGCTAGAGAGTTTTCAGGCTGATTGTCCCTGTGGTGCTGACCTAAAACAAGATCTGAACAAGGATTAAAAAGCAGGAAAGTAGCTTTGGTGTAACCAAGTACTTGCACTTTCTTCCAGTGTGCTAATGCTGAGAAGGGGTACCACAGGGAGTCTCAGTAGGTGGGGAGGGGAAAAGAGTCACACTATCTCAAAGCTATGGCACCAAAGACTGTAGGCCAGTCACTATGGTAGCAGGAGATGGACTTGCAGGCAGTGAATCAATTCACTGGATAGACCAGAATAGAACAATAGTTTATTGAGTACACTGCAGGAGGGCTACAGACAGGGCAATGACTAGAGTATTGCCTCCAGCAAAGGGCGATGGGCTGTGAAGTCTCCACCTGGGAGAGGTACTGTTATGGTTAGTTTCTTTGTGTGCAGTTGCCTGCATGTGGTCCATACTATGAGAAGCACACAGCCCAGACTGGCCAGTGTACAGGTCTGGGAGGTTAACTCATTACCCGCATCCACCATACTAATATCCTTATTTTTAAGGATAGAGATATGCAGGAAGAAATTTAGTAAAAACATACATTAAACATTTAGATAAGCTGGGGGGGGGAAATCCATATTGAATTCCAGAACTGAAATTTCTTTTAAAAAAAAAAAGACACTTTAATTTTATGTGTATGAGTGTTTTGCCTCTGTGATGTAAGTGTACTTACATGTGTGTACTGCCCGCAGAGGTGAGAACAGGGTATCAGATCCCTTTGGAACTAGTTGCAGACAGTTGTGAGCTGCCATGTGGATGCTTGGAACCAAACCCAGGTCCTCTGCATGAGCACCCAGTGCTGTTAACTGCTGAGCCATCTCTCCAGCCTTAGAACCTAAATTCTGTTTGTCTGTCTGTCTGTTTGTTTGTTTGTTTTGAGGCAGGGTCTCTCTGTAGCCCAGCTAGCCTGGAACTCCCTATGTAGTCCAGGCTGACCTAGATCTCACAGAGATCCACCCACCTGCCTCTGCCTCCCAAGGGCTGGAACTAAAGGTATGTGTCACCATGCCTGGCTCCTAAATTCTTAATTCCTATGGTAATTCTGCTTTCCTAACAGTTCCCAGAAATAGGTTCTGCAAGTTATATATACTAATTGCCCTGCTCAAGCATTTAGATGAAGCACATTCCAAACAACCCTGAAGGAAGAACATGTTATCTTTTTGATAGAAAACTGAAACCACAGGAGGTCAAGTGTTTCAACCAAATTAAATAGACTTAAATAGTATTCTCTTCTTTAAAAATCAAATTGCAATCTTCTTAATTAACTGCATAAAATACAACTTTATTTCTGTGTTGAAAGATAAAGGAACTTTCTGAAGGAAATGGTCAAGGATAAAATGAGTGTTAGGCATTTTCCATTATTCTCCTCATAGCCAAGGTATATTCTGGCTGCAGTTAATGACTCGGGTATTTGTACCTGACTATATGCATTTTTTTGACTCACGTATTATTTTCATTTGTTTCTCACAAGAATAAATGAGGAAAGCCTTTTCTAAGTTGTTAATCTTATAAACCAATATTTAATGAAGAGTTTCCAGCTTTAAAGAGCATATTCAGTATAAATCCACACATCCACTGTCAGCATTTACTATAGTCTACAGCCTGCCTGTGTTTGTGTGTGTGTGTCTGTCTGTCTGTCTGTCAGATGAATACAAATTTGTGTGCATGTTTACACAAATGAGATATCTAAAAATTGTGAGTGGTTAAACAGACTTTTTAAAAATATACTTTCATCATTAAGGACACATTTATCAATGCTACCAGAATTACTCTTTCAAAACTATTGTGAATAAAAAAAATTAAAAATCTGCCATGGAATAAATGTACAGTACATAAATTAGTATTTTTTAAAAAAAAAGATGAAACAAAATCATGTCACCACTTAGTCCAACAAACAGCACATCATCAGAACCCTGAGAGGCACCCTCGCCAATCACCATGATTCTTCCTGTAGAGTTTAGCACAACAAATAAGTGTTCTAGAGAACAGCTTTGCCTGTTGGCAGACATTACAAGGTGTCATATTTAGTATGCACTCTTTCGTACCTGGTCTCAACCCACACATTTATGAGAGGCATCCACACTGACATAGGTGTACTCACCCGCTTTCATTGCTGTAGTACGGTTTGCTGTATACAGCATATCAGTGCTGTAAATTTAATGCTGTCTCTTTGTGTGCATTTACTATACTTCTAATGCATGTAAACATAAGAGCAGAATCCAGGACTGCCTGATGTGCAGATCTTTAGCTTTAATGGACATCATCAAGTAATTTTTCAAGCAGCTGCAGCAACTTATAACACCTAGCAACACTGCAGCAGTTGTACACTCTCATCACAGCTCTGGTCCACAGTTCACCATTTGTCTTTTCATTTCTGGTGGCAACTTCTGAAGTCATTTTGATGACGTCTGACTCACTAATTCTGTCCTTCTGTTTTACTAACTTTCTGTCTTGTATTTATCTGCTCACACACATGTGCTTTCTTTGAGAAAATGATTAATAGTGGTGACTTTTATATCTATGATTTATCTCTAATTAATATTGTGTGTCAAGACAGGAGTCAAGGTTTGCTTATATTCTTTTCCTATGAATAACACAATTGACCACACAACATTTGCCCCCAAAGTTATAGCAGTGCCTCAGAAGAAAGCGAATAAGTGA